GAAACCCGGTAGCGGCGGCCACTGCCGCTAGTTCCTCAAAATCCTTCCCAACGTTTCCTTATACCGTCGTCGTTGAAATCGTTTCTTCGATAAAGAAAGAAATCGTCTTCGTTCTTTTGGAACCGTACATCCCATTTTACAATTTCCATCGATATTCGAATATTCGTATCTTCGTAACGGCCCCAGTTTGAACGAAAGTTTTCGTTAGATAAAGCTATCGAACCCGTTATCGCTTTCCCTCGTTTCCCTATCGTCTCGCTAGTGAAATACGACACGGACTCATACGTTGATCGGCTCCATTCATAGAAACGACTCGTTCCGCGGGAGAACGAATACTCGGAGCGAAAAAGAATACTACTCTAAATTCTAGCAGGGCGAGAAGCGCTACCGTTTCAGCGTGCTCGATAGTCATCTGTTACGTTGGGATAGGTCGAGGTGGCGGGGTACGTGCACACGAACGGCCGAGGAATTGGATCGTCCAGTCTACCGGGTGTCGCGGTGCAACGTCCGACAAGATGCAACGTTCGAAAGTATCGGCTGTCAACGACCTTACCCACGTACGATCTACTATTGTCATTCGATCACCGATGCGAGATAACATCCTATGCGATTCAATCGTTGGATGAGCGCAACGAGTAAAGGGGGGATACCAAAAACCGTACGTAACACCGTAACGTCGCGGTGTTCCAAGACACGTAACGCTCGTCAACGACCTTAGCTAAGATTTAGTTGTCGGACAAAGTCGATACCACGACGAGTGTGGCCAACCGAGGATACATCAAAATAGGAAGACGTTAAAACTGCTCGTAATAAATCGAAAATCGGTGGACGATCGAAGGCAGGTCTCGAGGGTTGGACGGCGCGAGGGAAAAGAAAGAAATATGCTCGTAGGCCGGTGGTGTGCAGTGGCTGGGACGAGCGGCGTGCGGATGCATGCGTCGCGCGCGCGTATAAATATTGCGCAACAGCGGGAGAATCGAAGGGAAAACATCGACAGCGCGACGTGTATTCCGTTACTCGAGGCGAACGACTGCAGTCCACTGCTTTGCATCGCGTTCATGGCAGCCAACGAACGACACGCTGTGCGTCGATGGCTTAGCACGTTCCTTCGGCGAACGTTGGAACAACGCAGAAGACTCTTCGAACGCCCAAAGAGGGAGAGAGATAATCGACTTCTAACGTTTCACGGAGCGTGTCGTCGTTATCACGGACGGTAACGCGAGCGTTGTCTTAGGTCGGGTAAAAGATCATTCGCAACCTCGACGGAGAGTGCTCGAACCTGAACGGACTCGATTCCGCGAAAGAACTTTCTCTCGGTTTCTCGCGACGCGAGCGAGACACGTTAAAGAAGATCAAGGAGGAAAACGTGGTCGCGGCAGCCTAACCTCGTGCTCAAGATTACGAACGTTACGCGAGAAGGCAGAAATTAAGCAACGATAACGACGTTCGATCACGTTCTACATAAGCGAGCAGCCGCGATCATGAAAATCACAGTTCCGGCCGAACGTGTTCGGAGGCCGCCGAAGCTGGAGCCTCGAGTTGAGTCGAGGTCGACGTCCGGACGCAACAAGTGCTGCTGCGACTCTCGGTTGCGCCCGCGATCTTCTTCGATATCGTGCCGAGAGGGACTCGTAACAATATACCGACATTTTTCGCGATAAAACCGTTTCTTCTTCTTAACCGTTTCTCTCCTCGGATTTTCTCTCTTCCTCCCTCTCCGTCCCCCTTTCTCGATCTCCGTCGCGCGCTTTCTAGACAGCTTCCGAGAGGCATAGCTGGAATTCCGGCGAACCGACGAGACCGGAAGCCGAAAGACCTCGACGAGGTTACGCGCGGCGATGTAACGCGCAAAATTTTCGGTCTAGAAGACGGTCAGTCCGACGCGGAGCCTCGGGTTGAGTCCGAGGTCGACGCCCGGGCGCAACAAGTGCTGCATTACGTACGTATACGCCGCTACACCCCACCCCACTCACTCATACAGTCCCACGGCCAGCCCCTCTCCACCCCTTGCGGAAGAAGCCCTCTCCTCTAGCGCCATCTCTCTCCGACTCGACGCTGCTGCCTGCCCCCGCCCCCCGCCCGAAACCGCGCTCAGCTCCCGCCTGCTTTCTACCACGGTGTCGCGCGAGAGAGCTTCACCGTACGAGAATAGTGTTGGGACCGATACCGCATCGATACTATCGATGACGCTCTATGAATTTCGGTTCTGTATCGAACATCTCGAATAACCCTCTCTGGAGAACCGACGCTTCAAGAATCGATATATCTTTTGAAAGACACCGTTTTTTATACCGAGTCATGTTCGGATATGTCGGCGTCGCTGGGGACCGTACATGGCCATATATCCGGAGGGCACGAATCGATCTTAATTTTTGTTTAAATATTATAAGTATAAACTGTGACTCTAAAATCAAACTTGTAAAGTACTAAACTTTCCAACATTGCAAAATTCTCGACCAATTTTGACACCTACGTTTATCGTAAAAGCAGTACGAACCAGAAACGTTGGGCACGTTAGGATCAGGTTGGACACCGATAACGCGAATTGTTCGAGCATCGATACGTATCGTATCAATCCCATCGCTAGACGAGGGAAAGAGATGCACGACACACGTAAAGAGAAAGAGAGAAGACATAACGTGAATGCCGTACGGCGAGTGGAAGCAGCACACGTTGCTACCGCTATCCCCCTCTCGACTGTTTTTCGCTCCAGTGTGTGTGCGTGCGCGCGCGTCAACGTTCCCTGTAAATATAAAACTGCACTGGGTCAGGGATCCGTGATTTATCGGCTGCCTGGTGTAATTGGCTGCCGGCCAATAGATACATACCCCCGGGCTACCCGGTGGGACACGAAGGGAGAACTCGACTAACCTCTCCTCGTCTAACGAGAGAGCGCAACAACCCCCTCTGGTCTTTCTTTCTCTCTTTCGATGCCGCGCGCGCGTCTCCTCGC